GAGATGAGCCAAATTGAGTTTGAAATTACGTAACTGAGTCTAAAAAATAAAAATAAAAATTAAATTCCGGTGTACCAGTGATGTAGACGTTTACGAAATAATTGAGGGATAAAACAATATCAAAAATTAAATTAATGTTACCGGGTCCGAACCGAATCACGATGACTAAAAATATCGCGACAGCGCCATCTCCCGCCGAGGTGGCGCACTGCCTGCCTTGCCGCCCCCTATGCTATGCTAAGACGATGGGCGTGGCCCATGATGTGTTGGATGTTGATGTGCGCTCCTCTTCAAGAGGTGGCGCCTTCAGCGCGCCGCATTCCTATCGCTAGGGAGCGTCTTCGTACAAAATAGTAATTTAATAGCAATACGAAATTAAGACTGAGTAAATTAGTAATGTTGCAAAATTGAGTGAGATGATAATGTTATAGTGGCTAGCTTAACCAAATATTAAGGGCTGCCGTTCCAGATTGATATGAAGCTAGGTCGAGGGCGTGAGTTTAAGTTTAAGTACCTATCAGGGATTAAGTTTTGGAAGTGAGGGTTCGACAAAGCAGCCAAAAGGCCTAACGTTATTTAAGGGAAGTAAAAATAAAAACCCGGATGACGCTTGAAATTCATTCCACCGCCGGAGACGTTTTTATTCCCAGCTCCCCCGGTGGAACGATTTCCAGGCTCCTAACTACAACTTTAAGATGGGACATGTTGAGTTTCAAATTACGTAACTGAGTCAAATAAATTCTGATTTCCTAAAAGAAAATTGCAGCAAGTTTTGTGGGACGGCTATTGGCGAGGAGAAAAAAAGTTGAGGTGGGGAGGGGGGGAAAGTGGTGGGGCGGTTGCGGAGGCGGGGCGCGAAGATTGTCAGTGCCGTCCAGACCGGCGCGAGGACCGCCGGGACCGCGCGGACCGCCGGGACCGGGCGCGAGGACCGCGAGGACCGCCCGGACCGCGAGGGCCGGGCGCGAGGACCGCGAGGACCGCCGGGACCGCGAAGGCCGGGCGCGAGGACCGCGCGGACCGCCGGGACCGGGCGCGAGGACCGCGAGGACCGCGAGGACCGCCGGGACCGCGAGGGCCGGGCGCGAGGACCGCGAGGACCGCCGGGACCGGGCAGAGCGATGGACGCGCGCGACTCCGTCGAGCTCTGCGAGGTGACTGGTTAGGTTAGGTTAGGTTAGGTTAGGTTAGGTTAGGTTAGGTTAGGTTGGGGTGCGATGGTGAGGGACCTCCCCGTGGTGCATCCCGGGCAACGTCCGCGTGGTCTGTCACGCGGGCGGCTGACTCCTCACCGGCGCGGCAGGTCGCGTCAACTCGGCCGGCCTGTCGGGCAACCCGTAACCCCCCAACGGAGGGGGGCCGGGGGCCCCGGCTACGGAAGTCGGGGTCAAGACAAGGAAAAGTCTTTAAAACCCCTAATCCTAAGGTCTGGCGGGGGCGGTCCTTGGAGGCCATGATGAGCGCCGGGCGTGAGGTTCTCTCGTCCCGTCGCCGGGGTTGAGTGTCCCCGGTCTCAGGTCGAGCCGGCGTAGAGGAGGCAAGTGTCTCGGCATAGGTCTTCACGTTGGTGGTGGTGAGCTGGGCGGGCAGAGTGGGCTTCATGCGCCCGAGCTCGGTTCTCACCGCCTGCGTCACAGCCTTAGTCACGGCGGCTGCGAGCTTCTCCTCGCAGCAATGGCTGTTGGTGATGGTGGCGGCGGTGGTGGTGGCAGGCGCCGCTGACGCGGAGCCTTCGTCTTGGCTAGATGCAGTTACCTCCAGGTGCTTAAGGTGCACTCTCTGAAGCAGCCGAGCCGCGTCCACGCTGCACTGGACCGCCCGCTCGCGGTTCTCCTTCCTCACGCTCTTCTCCTCGTTGAGCAGAACTGGTATAGTGGCCATAAGGCCATGGAGCTCCAAAAGAAGCGAGGAGAAGGGAGTGTCTCCGAAGTCAGCGCTGGGGAAGTAGCTCGCAGGTGTCTTGCGCTTGCAGGCTGACCGCGGATCGCCGGTGGTGAGAGTATTGCGCGGCCGCGGAGTGGTCACCGCTGGGGGTCGGTAAGTCCCAAAGCCGGCAGAGTCCAGTGAGCGCGGTGAATCCGCTCGGACAGTACCCACTGAGCTGCTTTGCGACGGGCACCTCTCGCTCTCTATAGACACGAACGAATTGTCCATCGAGTGCGCCTCAGAAAGTCTACCGAGGGGTGGAGAGCGAGAGGCTGGCAAGGTGTTCGGTGCCTCTGTGACTTCTCGCGATCGCGCGCGGGTCAGCCTTCGGTTGGGAAGTGGTGATGATTTAGCGAGTGGCATCCTGATCACTTACTGTCGGTCAGTCCAAAAGTCCAGGGTGCACACTGCAATCCAGAAAGAACACTGCAATCCAGAGGTTGGCACAAAAGTTTCAGTTCACCACACAGTTTCACTATTGAGATGCCCCCACACAGTATAAAGTCACCACACGGTCATTGATGTCCCCACACAGTTCGATGATCCACCGGTATTTGGTGATAGGCACGCTGAGGACCGCCCGGACCGCCGGGACCGCGAGGACCGCGCGGACCGCCAGGACCGCGAGGACCGCCGGGACCGGGCGCGAGGGCCGGGCGCGAGGGCCGGGCGCGAGGACCGCCGGGACCGGGCGTGGACCGGGCGCGAGGACCGCGCGGACCGCGAGGACCGCGAGGACCGCCAGGACCGCCGGGACCGCGAGGACCGCCGGGACCGGGCGTGGACCGGGCGCGAGGACCGCGAGGACCGCCAGGACCGCCGGGACCGCGAGGACCGCGGTTAGGTTAGGTTAGGTTAGGTTAGGTTAGGTTAGGTTAGGTTAGGTTAGGTTAGGTTAGGTTGGGGTGCGATGGTGAGGGACCTCCCCGTGGTGCATCCCGGGCAACGGCCGCGTGTTCTGTCACGCGGGCGGCTGACTCCTCACCGGCGCGGCAGGTTGCGTCAACTCGGCGGGCCTGTCGGGCGACCCGTTACCCCCCAACGGAGGGGGGCCGGGGGCCCTGGCTACGGAAGTCGGGGCCAAGACAAGGAAAAGTCAGTAAAACCCTCAAACGTCAAGGTCTGGCGGGGGCCGAGGAACGATATCGGGTCCTAATAGGCTCGATATGGTCGGTGGAGTAGCACCGGCCGTTACCCCGCCCGGGGAGTTGGTGGGGCAGCTGCGCCCGTAAGCAGATCACAATAATGGACAGTGCTGGCAAAAAAATGATTCCCCAGGCGGGTCCCGGAACTTCCGGGGAATCCCGCCCCGCCGCTTCGGCGGCGGGCTGCCCTACGTATCTGGGGGGGGCACCCACTGTTTCTCGGCTTCAGCCGTGCGAGAAGGAGGAGTGTACATTTGTAAATAGAAGTGTGGGAGATGAAAATACTGCGTCTGAAAACGCAGGCATTACTGTAAATAGTGATAAGGTAGAAACTGTATATAATGTAAATATGATGGAAGACGGTACGAAATCCGGCAGTGACAAGCTGCACAAAATCATGCAGCTCCGCGAGCCACGTGTCTCGCTGGAACGCGTCGACTTCGAGTCGGACTCATCAGCGATCTCGATGAGGTCTGCGGACTCTCACCGCAGTGACAAGACAAGGTTTTGGAGCAGGAAGCGCTGTCATGGCAGTGGCGCTACCTCAGACTCCGACGGGAAGGAAGAGGAAGCCCCGGAACCGAAAGTGCCGACTGGGCGTGCCCGCCGTGGCCGAGGGAGGCCGCCTACAACGGGCGAATACGTCGGCAAGGCGAAGTTCCAAGAGGCCTTCCGTAAGGTTAAAAAGCAGCAGGAGAAGAAAGAACTCCAGATCGAGGCAGAGAAGGAGATCTCGGAACTGACAGCAAAGGCGCGGTCCTCTAGGACCAGCACCGAGACAAGGCTCGCTGTGAAGCAAGCCATAGAGGAGAATGAGACCGTGGACGGGTTGCTGAAGCGCGTGCAAACTGGGCTGGCGCTCGTCCAAAAGGTGAACAAAAAGTCGGGGCATCTACAGGGCCCTATGCAGGCGGCCCTCAAGGAGGCCGTCGTTATCATCAGTGCGGCTACCAACATTCTTGCTAGCCGCACTGTCTCCGAAGAAGTGCACGACTTACAAGCACAGAACGACGTCCTGAGGGCCGAAATCGACGAGATGAAGAGGGAGATGGGCGAGCTAAAGGCCCAACTTCGGGCGAAAGCCCCCAACAAGGAGACCCCGAATGAGACGACACCCTCCAATATGGAGGAGTGGGCGGCGAAGATCATGGGGGTGGTGACGGCGCGGATCAATGCCCGAGTGGAAGGGCTGGAGCCTCGCCTGAACCCCGAGCCCAGGCTTCGCCCGCCTTTAAGCTTTGAAAAGCGACGAGAGGAGGCCCCTCTACAGTCTTCTCTCGAAAACCCGGCGACGACAAAGCAAGCGGCAAGAGGGAGCACGACCGAGAGGGTCGCAGACCAGCCGCTTTCGGTCTCTTCCAACCCAAAGACCGAAGAAGCCAAGAAAGGCAAGAGGAAGAAGCAGAAGAAGGGGAAAGCTTCGAAGGCACCCCCGAAAGAGACTGCCCCACCCGTCCCTCGTCCTCTACCACCCGCCCCGACCTCAATGAACGAGGGCTGGAGCACAGTGGCGAAACGAGGCAAGACGAATGGGAAGGATGCGAAGAAGGCGCCCATCAGGGGCCAGAAAAAGGCGGCTCAAGCCGCCGTGCCGAAAGCGCGCCCACCAAAGTCCGCAGCTGTAGTGCTGTCAATACAGCCGGCGGGCAGTGAGAAGGGCGCTACCTACGAAAAGGCCATCACGGAGGCAAAGAGACGGGTGGACATTGCCGAATTAGGCATTGAGGCCGTCCGATTCCGCAGAGCCCTCACAGGTGCCACTATTATTGAGGTACCGGGAGTGGCGAGCGAGGAGAAGGCCGATGCCCTCGCCGATAAGCTGAGGGCAATTTACAAGGAGGAGGAGATACGAGTGTCTAGGCCCACGAAGTGCTCCGAACTGAGAGTGGCAGGACTGGACGACTCGGTAACGCCTGAGGAGGTGGCGGCCGCAGTGGCCAAGTTGGGAGGATGTTCCGTGGAGGCTGTCAAGGTTGGCGGTCTCCGTAGAGACTACACGGGACTTTTCGCCGCCTGGGTCCGTTGCCCAGTTCTAGCGGCCAAAAAGGTGAACGAGGGCCGTCTCCTGGTTGGATGGGTTGCCGCCAGGGTGAAGCTTCTCCCAAACCGCGAGTTGAGATGTTTCCGGTGTCTGGAGGCCGGACACGTCCAGGCGGTATGCCCGGCGGACGTGGACCGCAGCCGGCAATGTTTCCGGTGCGGGCAGCTAGGCCATGTCGCGGCCAAGTGTGAAAACGAGCCACACTGTACACTTTGTGCGTTGGCCGATAAACCCGCGGGGCACCGCGTGGGCAGTAAGGCCTGCAAAGCCCCGGGGACGAAGATAGGAAGGAGAGCGGCGGCAAGTGCCAAGGGCCAGCCAAAGCCATCCAGCCCCACGGGGCCTGAGGAGACGCAGATGGCCGGCGAATAATATGGCCACAAAATTTCTACTGGCGAATGTCAACCACTGTGCCAGAGCTCAGGACTTATTGCAACAGAGCATGGCACAGTGGTCGACCCAGATATGTGTAGTGGCAGAGCCGTACTACGTACACGAACGGGACAACTGGGCTGGGGACGTCGAGGACAAGGTGGTAGTTATCACCAACTCAGCGGCGGACTCCCCGCCATTTAATAAGATCCGGAGGGGCCGCGGCTGCGTCGCTGTTCTCGTCGGCGAGGTAGTCGTGGTAGGAGCCTACTTTTCTCCAAATCGCTCGATAGCTGAGTTCGAGACGTTCTTGGCGGAAATGGGGACATTGCTGACCGGATGGGGACATACTCACCCTGTAATCGTGGCTGGAGACCTGAACGCGAAGTCGCTGACATGGGGCTCCCGACTGACGGATTTGCGAGGCGAGTTGGTCGAGGACTGGCTGATGGCTAATGGTCTGGTGGTTTTGAACCAGGGAACGGTCGACACGTGCGTGCGAATGCAGGGTGGCTCGGTCGTGGATGTCACCTTCGCGAGCCCTGCCCTAGCGCGCCGTGTCCAGAGCTGGGAGGTGCTGGAGGAGGTAGAGACATTATCGGATCACCGTTACGTACGATTCGAGCTCGCCTCCTCTCAGTCTGCCCCGAATAGCCCAAGCCGTTCCCCGGAGGAGATCGGCCCGAGATGGGCGTTGAAACGCCTGGATAGGGACACACTAATTGTTGCGTCGTTGGTGGAGAGCTGGTCACCGCATGTGGGCGATGTGGAGCCAGACAGAGAGGTCGAGTGGTTCCGGGGGGCCGTGTCGCGGGTGTGCGACGCGGCGATGCCTCGAGTTAGGGCGCTGCCGCCTCGCACAGCAGTGCACTGGTGGTCCCCGGAGCTAGCTCGGCTCAGAGAAGAATGCGTCTCAGCAAGGCGCCGCTACTCCCGACACCGCAGGCGACGGGACCGGGATGAGACACAGGATGGCCCACTTTACGCCGTCTACCAGGAGGCCAAGAAGGTCCTTAGGGGTGCGATAGGGGCGGCTAAAAACGCCGCCTGGGAGGAGCTCCTCTCCACCCTTAACCAGGATCCGTGGGGGAGGCCATATAGGCTCGTCATGAACAAGCTGCGCCCGCGGACTCCCCCACTCACCACCACCATGGATCCTGGTCTCCTGAGNTAGAAGTGTGGGAGATGAAAATACTGCATCTGAAAACGCAGGCATTATTGTAAATAGTGATAAGGTAGAAACTGTATATAATGTAAATATGATGGAAGACGGTACGAAATCCGGCAGTGACAAGCTGCACAAAATCATGCAGCTCCGCGAGCCACGTCTCGCTGGAACGCGTCGACTTCGAGTCGGACTCATCAGCGATCTCGATGAGGTCTGCGGACTCTCACCGCAGTGACAAGTCAAGGTTTTGGAGCAGGAAGCGCTGCCATGGCAGTGGCGCTACCTCAGACTCCGACGGGAAGGAAGAGGAAGCCCCGGAACCGAAAGTGCCGACTGGGCGTGCCCGCCGTGGCCGAGGCAAAGAGACGGGTGGACATTGCCGAATTAGGCATTGAGGCCGTCCGGTTCCGCAGAGCCCTCACGGGTGCCACTATTATTGAGGTACCGGGAGTGGCGAGCGAGGAGAAGGCCGATGCCCTCGCCGATAAGCTGAGGGCAATTTACAAGGAGGAGGAGATACGAGTGACTAGGCCCACGAAGTGCTCCGAACTGAGAGTAGCAGGACTAGACGACTCGGTAACGCCTGAGGAGGTGGCGGCCGCAGTGGCCAAGTTGGGAGGATGTTCCGTGGAGGCTGTCAAGGTTGGCGGTCTCCGTAGAGACTACACGGGACTTTTCGCCGCCTGGGTCCGTTGCCCAGTTCTAGCGGCCAAAAAGGTGAACGAGGGCCGTCTCCTGGTTGGATGGGTTGCCGCCAGGGTGAAGCTTCTCCCAAACCGCGAGTTGAGATGTTTCCGGTGTCTGGAGGCCGGACACGTCCAGGCGGTATGCCCGGCGGACGTGGACCGCAGCCGGCAATGTTTCCGGTGCGGGCAGCTAGGCCATGTCGCGGCCAAGTGTGAAAACGAGCCACACTGTACACTTTGTGCGTTGGCCGATAAACCCGCGGGGCACCGCGTGGGCAGTAAGGCCTGCAAAGCCCCGGGGACGAAGATAGGAAGGAGAGCGGCGGCAAGTGCCAAGGGCCAGCCAAAGCCATCCAGCCCCACGGGGCCTGAGGAGACGCAGATGGCCGGCGAATAATATGGCCACAAAATTTCTACTGGCGAATGTCAACCACTGTGCCAGAGCTCAGGACTTATTGCAACAGAGCATGGCACAGTGGTCGACCCAGATATGTGTNGGGCATTTACAGGGCCCTATGCAGGCGGCCCTCAAAGAGGCCGTCGTTATCATCAGTGCGGCTACCAACATCCTCGCTAGCCGCACTGTGTCCGAAGAAGTGCACGACCTTCAAGCACAGAACGACGTCCTGAGGGCCGAAATAGACGAAATGAAGAGAGAGATGGGAGAACTTAAGGCCCAACTCCGGGCGAAAGCCCCCACTAAGGAGACCCAGGAAGAGACGACACCCTCCAATATGGAGGAGTGGGCGGCGAAGATCATGGGTGTGATGACGGCGCGGATCAATGCCCGAGTGGAAGGGCTGGAGCCGCGCCTGAACCCCGAGCCCAGGCTTCGCCCGCCTTTAAGCTTCGAAAAGCGACGAGAGGAGGCCCCTTTACAGCCTTCTGTCAGCAACCCGGCGGCGACAAAACAAGCGGCAAGAGGCGCAACCGAGAGGGTCGCAGACCAGCCGCCTTCGGTCTCCTCCAACCCAAAGACCGGAGAAGCCAAGAAAGGCAAAAAGAGGAAGCAGAAGAAGGGGAAAGCCTCTAAGGCGCCCCCGGCAGCCACTGCTCCACCCGTCCCTCGTCCTCTACCGCCTGCCCCGACCTCAATGAACGAGGGCTGGAGCACAGTGGCGAAACGAGGTAAGACGGATGGGAAGGAAGAGAAGAAGGCGCCCATCAGGGGCCAGAAAAAGGCGGCTAAAGCCGCTGTGCCGAAAGCGCGTCCACCAAAGTCCGCAGCTGTGGTGCTGTCAATACAGCCGGCGGGCAGCGAGAAGGGCGCTACCTATGAAAAGGCCATCACGGAGGCAAAGAGACGGGTGGACATTGCCGAATTAGGCATCGAGGCCGTCCGATTCCGCAGAGCGCTCACAGGTGCCACCATCATCGAGGTACCGGGAGCGGCGAGCGATGAGAAGGCCGATGCCCTCGCTGATAAGCTGAGGGCAATCTACAATGAGGAGGAAATACGAGTGTCTAGGCCCACGAAGTGCTCTGAATTGAGAGTAGCAGGACTAGACGACTCGGTAACACCCGAGGAAGTGGCGGCCGCAGTGGCCAAGTTGGGAGGATGTTCCGTGGAGGCTGTCAAGGTTGGCGGTCTCCGTAGAGACTACACGGGACTTTTCGCCGCCTGGGTCCGTTGCCCAGTTCTAGCGGCCAAAAAGGTGAACGAGGGCCGTCTCCTGGTTGGATGGGTTGCCGCCAGGGTGAGGCTTCTCCCAAACCGCGAACTGAGATGCTTCCGGTGTTTGGAGGCCGGACACGTCCAGGCGGTATGCCCGGCGGACGTGGACCGCAGCCGGCAATGTTTCCGGTGCGGGCAGCTAGGCCATGTCGCGGCCAAGTGTGAAAACGAGCCACACTGTACACTTTGTGCGTTGGCCGATAAACCCGCGGGGCACCGCGTGGGCAGTAAGGCCTGCAAAGCCCCGGGGACGAAGATAGGAAGGAGAGCGGCGGCAAGTGCCAAGGGCCAGCCAAAGCCATCCAGCCCCACGGGGCCTGAGGAGACGCAGATGGCCGGCGAATAATATGGCCACAAAATTTCTACTGGCGAATGTCAACCACTGTGCCAGAGCTCAGGACTTATTGCAACAGAGCATGGCACAGTGGTCGACCCAGATATGTGTGGTGGCAGAGCCGTACTACGTACACGAACGGGACAACTGGGCTGGGGACGTCGAGGACAAGGTGGTAGTTATCACCAACTCAGCGGCGGACTCCCCGCCATTTAATAAGATCCGGAGGGGCCGCGGCTGCGTCGCTGTTCTCGTCGGCGAGGTAGTCGTGGTAGGAGCCTACTTTTCTCCAAATCGCTCGATAGCTGAGTTCGAGACGTTCTTGGCGGAAATGGGGACATTGCTGACCGGATGGGGACATACTCACCCTGTAATCGTGGCTGGAGACCTGAACGCGAAGTCGCTGACATGGGGCTCCCGACTGACGGATTTGCGAGGCGAGTTGGTCGAGGACTGGCTGATGGCTAATGGTCTGGTGGTTTTGAACCAGGGAACGGTCGACACGTGCGTGCGTGCGAATGCAGGGTGGCTCGGTCGTGGATGTCACTTTCGCGAGCCCTGCCCTAGCGCGCCGTGTCCAGAGCTGGGAGGTGCTGGAGGAGGTAGAGACATTATCGGATCACCGATACGTACGATTCGAGCTCGCCTCCCCCCAGCCTGCCCCGAACAGCCCAAGCCGTTCCCCGGAGGAGATTGGCCCGAGATGGGCTGTAGTATGCGCGTCACTACGCACACACTCACATCCCTTACATAGTATACAGGGTGTCCCGTAATGTAACGTCAAGCCGGAACTGGGTGTTGAGGCAAGTTGTGCTGGTTATCAGAAAAATATAAAAAAAAATCTATGTGGCATATTTTAAAAATAATNTGGGAGGTGCTGGAGGAGGTCGAGACTTTATCAGATCACCGATACGTACGTTTCGAGCTCGCCTCCCCCCAGCCTGCCCCGAACAGCCCAAGCCGTTCCCCGGAGGAGATTGGCCCGAGATGGGCATTAAAACGCCTGGATAGGGACACGCTTATTGTGGCGTCGTTAGTGGAAAGCTGGTCACCGCAAGTGGGCGACGTGGAGCCAGAGAGAGAGGTCGAGTGGTTCCGGGGGGCCGTGTCGCGCGTGTGCGATGCGGCGATGCCTCGAGTTACAGTGCTGCCGCCTCGCACAGCAGTGCACTGGTGGTCCCCGGAGCTAGCTCGGCTCAGAGAAGAATGCGTCTCAGCAAGGCGCCGCTACTCCCGACACCGCAGGCGACGGGACCGGGATGAGACACAGGATGGCCCACTTTACGCCGTCTATCAGGAGGCCAAGAAGGTCCTTAGGGGTGCGATAGGGGCGGCTAAAAACGCCGCCTGGGAGGAGCTCCTCTCCACCCTTAACCAGGATCCGTGGGGGAGGCCATATAGGCTCGTCATGAACAAGCTGCGCCCGCGGACTCCCCCACTCACCACCACCATGGATCCTGGTCTCCTGAGGAACGTCGTCGAAGCCCTCTTTCCCGCAAGGCAGGTTGTCACGCCGCCAGTCTACTTCAACTCTGACGGGATAGACAGAGAGGAGGCACCGGATGTGACTGAGGGGGAGCTCGGGGCGGCTATCCTTCGCCTTCAAGCGAAAAACACCGCCCCGGGCCCTGATGGTATACCCGGGAAAGCGCTGGTCATAGCGCTGAAGAACGGCCTGGAGCCCCGATTCCGGGCGTTGTTGACGGAGTGCCTGAAGCAGACCCACTTTCCACGAGTGTGGAAGACGGGCAAACTTGTGCTGCTCAGGAAGGAGGGTCGACCAGCAGACTCTCCAGCGGCATATAGGCCAATAGTCCTATTGGATGAAGCGGCCAAGTTGATGGAAAGGGTCATCGCCACCCGCCTTAACAGGCACATGGTAGAGACCGGCCCGGAATTGGCGGAAAATCAATACGGCTTCCGGCGGGGCAGATCCACGATCGATGCCATAGGGCACGTAAAAGCCCTTGCCGAAGAAGAGGTCGAGCGTGGGGGATGCGTGGTGGCGGTGTCGTTGGATATCGCCAACGCATTTAACACCCTCCCCCACGCTTGCATAGAGGAAGCGCTGAAGTACCACAAGTTCCCCGAATACCTGCAGAATATAGTACTGGACTATCTCCGAAATAGGGACATCATCTTCCCGACTGCGGATGGCTGGGGTAGAAGGCCGGTGTCGTGCGGTGTTCCACAGGGATCGGTCCTTGGTCCGCTCCTGTGGAACATCGGTTATGACTGGGCCATCCGTGGTTCAACTCTGCATGGGATCGGGGTCGTGTGCTATGCGGACGACACCCTGGTGACAGCGAAGGGGAAAACTTTCAGAGATGCGGCCATTTTGGCAACAGCGGGAGTGGCGCAAGTCGTGGACCGCATCAAACGTCTGGGACTGAAGGTGGCGCTAAACAAGTCCGAAGCAATATGCTTTCACGGGCCTCGTAGAGCACCGCCGGCGGGGGCGGAGATCGTGGTGGGTGGCGTCTCCATCGGTGTCGGGTCGACCATGAAATACCTGGGATTGGTCCTCGACAGCCGATGGAACTTTAAGGCCCACTTCCGATATCTCGCTCCCAAATTGACGAGGACAGCAGCGGCACTGTGCCGCATAATGCCAAATCTGGGGGGTCCGCACATGGGGTGTCGTCGTCTCTTCGCCGGAGTTATACGCTCCATGGCTTTGTACGGCGCGCCCATATGGGTGGACGCCCTCGGTAGAGAGAACCGGACAGTACTCAGGAGGCCACAGCGAGTCATGGCTGTGAGGATGGTGCGTGCCTATTGCACGGTGTCACGAGAGGCTGCGTGTGCGCTTGCGGGCACCCCTCCCTGGGAGCTTGAGGCCAAAGTGCTGGCTGAGGTGTACCATCACACTGCTGCCGCAAAGCGCAGCGGTAACCCGCCGGCACCACGGGAAATCGAGCACTGGAGGGAGGAGGCCCGCAACGTGATTGTGGAAGAGTGGTCGGCCAGTCTGACGGAGCCCAGTGCGGGCCACCGGACGGTCGAGGCACTGCAACCCTACCTGAAGGAGTGGTTGGAGCGGCGCGGTAGCCCACTCACGTACCGGATGGTGCAGGTGTTGACCGGACATGGTTGTTTCGGGAAATACCTGCACAGAATCGGCCGCGAGGGGACCGCCGCCTGCTGCCACTGTAACACCGGAGAAGATGACACAGCAGAACACACTCTGGAGGTGTGCACTGAGTGGGAGCCGCACCGAGCCACGCTCCGTGCGGCCATTGGACCAGACATATCGCTACCGGCAGTGGTTAAAGCCATAGTCGGCAGCGACACCGGACATGACGCTTTTAAGGCCTATTGTGAGGCCGTCATGATAGAGAAGGAGACGGCTGAGCGGGAGAGAGAAGAGGATCCCCTTGCAGACCTCGCTCGCCGGAGAAGAGTGGGCCGAAGGCGGCGGGCTTTTGCTCGTCGTCCTTGACGCCAGTCGTAGTTTGTAGGTGGGCATTTGCGGGCAGGCCATTTACACCTGTCTGCAATGCCAATTGTTGTATATAAACTTGTATAATATATAATCGTGTAAATATGTCTTTTCCTGTACAGTGTGTATAGTTTCCCCTGTATATACTGTAAATAAAAGTCTCCGAGGGTCTATGGCGGATATTAATCGCCACGAGTAGTAGTGGTCACACGACATGACGACACGACGTGTCTGCAGTTGCAGACAACTGTGTTGTTATTGTAGGGGGGCATAGCCTCCTACAAACACCGGGCAGAAATTGAATTGATACATTTTAATTTCTGTGATGGGTCTAGGTGTTACTATGTATAATATGTACTTATGTATATAAAAACGGTATTTAAGTATGTTTATATCCGTTGTCTAGGACCCATAGCNTTTTTCAAGGATTCTTTTGCTCAAGGGGTTCTCTTTTTTATCTTTTTCATTCTTTTTCCATGCAATTTCTTAGGCCTTCTGGCTGAATAATGATTTAACGCCGATTTTTTCTTTATTACACATTACAATTGAACTTAATTTCTATTTTACATTTTCTCTTATGTTTAGTGCTTCTATATAATTCTAAAATTTTATTTCTTACTGTCTATTTATCTTTTATAGTACTATTTTACACACAAACGTATATAATAAACCTATTATATATAGCAGTATGTATGGGAGTCTTATGTACTATTTCTTTTATTGACAGTTTTGCATATTTCCAGACAATAATTAATAAACCTCTCTCTACTATTTTTACTAACCAGTAATGTGTGCAAATTTTCTTTGTTGACTGTTAAATCAAGTCTATTTTCTAAATCAAAGCGCTCGCGATTGTGGATTGGGCACTCCGTAAGGAGGTGAACAACCGTTTCTTCGCGCGCTGGATCGCAGGCGCATGATGGGTTGTCCCTGCACTTGAAACGGTTCAAGTACTGAGAGAACCCACCATGCCCCGTCAATATTTGAGTGAGCATTCCCGTCGGCCCTATCTTTCGGACGAACTTATATGCCTGGATGGCATCTGGTAAGAAGACCTTCGTTATGGAAGCTGTGTCACCGTCTAGATATCTGCTGTTCCATCGATCTAGAGTTGTATCACGTAAAAGTTTCCTGACGTGTGATACAGGACACTTATCATAGTCCGGTTTTCTTTTTAATGAGAGAGCCGCCTCCTTCGCCAGTTCGTCCGCGCGTTCGTTGCCTGGAAGACCTGCGTGGGCTTTCACCCAGAACAAAGACACAGCTTTGCCCTGGGCCAAGGCCGTCCGCAGGTTCTTCCTAGTCTCCACTGCAAGGGGATGAAGAGAGCCATGGTTGGCGATCGTCTCCAGCGCTGCCCTCGAATCGCTATATACGCCATAACTATCCTCCCCCCCTCTCAGGATCATGCCCGAAGCTTTGCATATAGCCAAGAGTTCCGCCTGGTAAACTGAGCAGTACGCAGACAGAGCAAGCTTGAGGCTACTGGTCTCGGCCTCATTATTCCATACGGATAATGCGGCTCCGACTTTCCCCTCAATCTTACTTCCGTCTGTAAATATGCGCACCG